AAGAACTGATTGGTGAAGAAACAATCTTTGCAGGCACCAAGCAAAGAAGAAGCTATGAAGCTAGGTCTTGCTGTTCTTTCTGCTGTTAGAGAGTTTCATGCACTGGATACTTCTGCTTTGGATAAATTTATTTCCTAGTTGTGTTTTGTCTGTAACTAAAGGCTTCTGGACATCTCTTTTACGATTGTTGTAGAATGAGTGGCAATATCTTTGCTTTGCAGATAAAGATGTCAATATTACCTGTTTTGAATGGAGAGTGTTCTACATTATAAATTTTGCTGCTTACTTTTATCCAACCCTTATAGTAAATAATATTGAGTAAATAACAATGATTTCTTACATGATATAAGTTAAAAAAAAAATTAATATGAATTCATATTTTCAGTGTTTAACTATTACGATTAAAAAAATATAATTTGACAATTTAATTATAACCTATTACGATTAAAAAAATATAATTTGACAATTTAATTAAAACACAATGTGGTGCTTTCTATAAAATTAAATTATTTTAATTTTAAAGAACGTTTTTAAAATAGAACTTTTAATATTTTGTACACGTACTTCTTAATTCAACACCCGTGTATTAGTATTGTACTAGTAAAATCACCAATAAATGTCCTTCAATCACATTTTTTTTTAGATACCTATGTTAATTTTTAAATAAAGATGTTTAATAGAGTCATAATTGATTAAAAAAATCTTTAAAAACATTTAGTACCAGATACACACACTTTACTAGTCTGGAAAAAGCATATAGCATACCACTCCACGCTACATATAATACTCCACTTAATTTCGACCCACTCGATTTCTTGGGGTCACTCGAAAGGCAAATGAAAAATGAATTAGCGGAATGAACTGCAGGAATATTTTTGGGAATATTATTGAACTTTTCAACGACAAGTAATTTATCCACTACAAGGAACACAATTTAACTAACCGAAAATAAAGCCACGATCTACATAGGTCATGATGATAGAAGATCAACTGTAATTTCATGCAATTCTAAGCTCTCATATCTTGAGATATTTCAAATCTTCAATCTCCTTGGACTCCTGCAGCTTGTCCTGAACTGCAATCCTAGTCTCGTCAGCAGCTGAAACTTCAGAATTTGGCACTGCAGAAACTGACAATAACTTAAAAATCATAGGAGCTCCTCAACTCTAACCAAACGGATGAGAGAATATATATGAAGTTGAACCTGACTAGAAGTAACTAATCATATCCCAAAATAGAAAATACCCGTCAGAGTTTGTACTAGCTATGAATTCAATCCTATGCATGCAATTTATCAAACATAAAAGTATGTGTTAATAATTTTGAGAATTAAACAGGTTCTTCAGTAATTAAGCTTCAAAGTTCTGTTTGAATTGAGGTTTATTTGAAATCTACGAGTCTTGAAATAATTTAATCAACTGTTATTTTATAATACAAGGATAGAACGTGTGCAGTTTGAGTGAGATGTGAATAGAGTTAATATGAAATGTGTAGTGTGTGTGAGGGATTTGGAATCTGTTGATCCAATTTTTTCTAGCCAAACATGTCCCAGTGCATTTGTACAAGGATTTCAATACGAAATGTGTAGTGGGTGAGGGATTTGAAATCTACTGATCCAATTTCTTCTAGCAAACATGTCGCATAGGTACAAGGATTTCAAAACCTGGAGCAGCATATACAGGGACAGCCTGCCTTATGGAGACAGGTGGCGCAACCCCAATGGCCGGAGGCCTCATCACTGGCGGTGGGGCCGAGAAAACGGGAACCATGTTCCGTACAGTCACAAGCGGCGCAAATCTGCCATGCGGGTTACTGTGCCTGACAGGAATATACGGTGGTGCACTTGGTAAAGGGAATTTCTGGGCAGCCCAAAGCTTAAAGTTGTCAGCCGAAGACAAGCAGCTCTCGTTCGTGGATGTTGTCGTGATTACAGGCTGGGTTTGGGTTGTGTTCACATTCTTTTGGAATGATGGGCTGTTTTTGCAGTTGGCCATTTTGGGGCAGATTAAGGGAAGTATTTTTGAGGTTGTGGAGGAATTGTGTGTGCTCGATGGCCTTGGGCTCACAGTCGGGAATTTTATTGGGAAGGGGATTCTTGCCAGCCTGGCCTTTATTAGGTACTTTTGAAGGGCCCTGGCTACTGTCACGTGCTCCTGCTCGTCTTTGAGGGTCTTCTCGAATGGGGTTTCTGACTGCTGCCCCACTGGATAAGACAAAAAAAAGAAAAAGAAAAAAAAAATGATGTCAAGCTTTACTTACTCTCAGTAGTCCATATCAATTAATTCTCAAGTAGGACTAAGCTGACCTACGTTAACTTTCTTCTCTCAATATGTAAGCCAATTTCCGCTATTACTTTCCAATGTCGATAAAACTTTTTAATATCACAGTGCTTGAAAAATCCATTCCATTGGTTGTTAAATTCACGTCTATAGGGGAAACAAAGATCAACATACTGATGTATTGCAATTTGCACATCTAGTTTATGTCAAAATAAAAGGGATCATTATATACGTGATTTGAGAGATAACCAAGCCACCATGGCCGTATTCTTCTCTGCTTGCTTCTTGCTCTTAGCTGGGTCGCCAGTGAATAGAACGCCCACCAACTCCACTGTACAGGTGAAAACGGGAAGGTGGCCTTGACCAGATCTGAAAGTTGTATAAGAAGGCATGCATCCCCCGACTCTTTGTGAGACCTCTTGCAAGAGATTCTTATACACGCCTGTTTCATCCTGCAATGTGGTTTTTTGCCCATTAGCGAGCAGATAAACCGAAATGAGAAAGATGAAACCCCGGACACATGATGAGAAAAAAAATATGAAGTAGCATTGCCTTTTTGCCCAAAAAGTTCACTTTGCAGTCCATAATTTAGTTACAGATATATTTAGAAGATGAGTCATTGAGGTCCAGAGCATGGATGAATATTTACACGTACAAACGGACATGCCACTCCATTTATACAACTGCTAAATATTTATCGTCCATCAATGCCTACCCTCGATTTTCTTTCTAGCCAATTTCTCATACGGCACATCAAAAAGAATAAAAAATAAATGAGAATAATGACTCACATAAATTAACCTAGACCAATCCACATTCTTTTAGTAATGATGAACCTCATGAGTTCAGGGGTAGAATTGAGGATTGGTAATCCATCTTGTGATTACAAATAAATTCAATTATCTCCTTCAAGATCCTTGGAGTGAGTGTAAGATAATTTTGTCACTGATTAAAAATGGACTTAATGTTGCTGGGAATGCATCATTCCGGTGCAGCATAACGTTGTGTCATAAAACTTGACTAATTTTAAGATTTTTTTCCCAAATTGACAAAAGAGCTGAAGGAATAATCTCCATATCACAGAACCTAGATTCTTGCACTAGTGCTGACCCAAATTTGGCAGGCCAAGTATCAATGCAAGCTTTCTAAATAGATCGGCAAGTTGTAAAACTTTGGGTTGGGTATGGATACAAATGTATCTAATCATTTTAACCTCGGCTTGATTTGTAATAAACCTTACTTTTCTGTATAAACAATCTAAAGTGGGACGTCCAAGTTTTCTTTCACATTATTCTGCCTTGATCATCACTTGATGCTCACAAAATCAACACGGGACAGCTACACAGTTGAACTCCAATATTTGGAATTAAAGATTGCCAGAACAGTCTCACAACATTGTGAAAAAGATACTGAGAGTCGCGCATGTCCTATCTCATTCAAAGTTTTGAGATACATTATAAGACATTTTGGATTTAATTGAGCTCAATAATGTCAATCTTATTTAGGAAGCAGACCCAAAATCATTTTTTTTAGAAATTGCGCAAAGGGTAAGTTTTAGCATATAATTTTAATAATTAATAAAAAAAAAATAGAGAAAATAATAGATCCGCTTGATTCTACCTGTATTTGTAACAAATGCATAGTGTCATCCAGATCACTCCATGGAGTTCCATGTAAATCAAGACAAACTTTTAAGGAACAGGCAAGACATGAAGCATACAAAGTCATGTGCTGGCAACTAACGACAAACAACACACCAATAGAATTTAATCTACACCAAACAACAGATAAGCACTCTTCAATTTGTTTGCTATCAGTCGGAAACAAATCATAAGCCTGCAACTGTCACCTATGTTAAATAAAAGAAGCCAAAATGCTTAAAATGCTACAGAATGGACAGTTTGAACATTTCGGGAAAGGCTACATGATTATTAAGATGATAACTTCACATTAAGAATCACTATGTCATACACTAAAATGCACTCACCCTCCAACCAATGCATTAGACTACTATATTATGTTGCTAATGCAAAATCTAGCAGAACGCATATATCCGTTAAGATAAATTCACAATAGAAGAAAAAATAAAAGAAAGAAAAAAAGAACAAAAGGCTATAAAATGGTACCATAATGATAGTCCACACAAAATGCACAAGGATGAAAGCACATAAATAAATGAACTTAACATAACAAACATTTCCACATATGATGTCAAATTAGATACCACACCACTGTCACTTTTTCATCAGGTCCACAAAGCAACCTAAACTAAAATTTTATGAACAGAGGTCCATTCCATAGCTCATAATAAAATTACACGGCCACAAACCCACTTATGTGTATCCCTATATCTCAATCTCTTATTCTCTTTTATGAATCTCGACAAATCCAGCAGAATAAGTCCACTAAAATAAATCACAGTAGCTAGAGACGTTAGCATAACAAAATCAACACAAGATAAATAAGAAAATATTAACAAACAACGCATTTGTCCTTTAGAAAATCATGGCATTTGCATAAACTCTTACCAAAAAAAAAAAAATAATAAAAAGAACACAGACTTACCAGAATTCTAGCGGCGAGGGAGCTGGTAGGTCCACCGCTGGATATCGCATTGAGTGCCACCTCAGCCGCAGAGTGTTCCGCCTGGCGGAGTGTAGAGCAGTAGCTAGGGCTCTCGTATGTCTCGCCATTAAAGTTAACGGAGGCCTTGAACCGTGGCGCGTGATCGGGACCTTCCCTGATGCAAGTGTACGACGGCAGATTGAAGCAGCTACGCTGCGCCAGCTCCTGAAGCTGGTTCTTATACATCTTCGCACCAACCCCAAAAGCAAAAGGAAAAGGAGAAGAAAATGGACCAAAAATTACCGGAAAAAGAAATAGAGCACTTCAATTTTTCAAGGTCGTCCTCTATTGATATAAGGTCAAATGCAACAGATCACCGGCTCAAAGGAGCCACCAATCGAGATCGGGGAGCATATTTCTCAGCTGCTGTACGGTTCTTGGTTAGGGTTTTTGCTTTGGACCTTGGTGGCATTTCTTGGAGTGAGTTTTTTGGGTGAGCTTACTGGAGAGAGAGAAGCTGTAAAGAGAGGCACAGAAATTAAGAGACTTTTTGCAATTTTTTGCTGTGCAGTTAATAGCTTGGCTTTAAAAACGACGTAAGAGAGAGAACGGTAGAAACTGGAAGGTGTTCTTTTAATAAATATAAAATGTTTTCTTGTTAAGCCTCTTATATCTACTTTAAATAACATTATTACTTGTCACAATAGTATCCAATCTATATGTAATATTATTACTTGTCACTGGGGGTGTTCAAAATTCGACTAAAATCGACCGAACCGACTGAAACCGACCGAACCGACCAATTCGGTTCGGTTTTTGTTCGACTCGGTCGGTAGTCGGTTTTCAATTTGTAAATTTTCGGAATTTTTCGGTCGGTATCGGTTTCGGACATAAAATGTCCAAAAAAACGGAACCGACCGAATAAAAAAAAATAAATTATATATATATATATATAAAATATCATATTATATATTATAATATAATATTTTAATACAATACATTAACATAATCCTAAATCCTATCTCCTTCTTCGCATTCCAGAAATCTTTCCCCATATCCGCCGCCGCTGTCTCCAAATCCTCCGCTCCTACACCCCTAGCCGCTGCTCCTCCGCTCTCCATCTCCCTTGCCCAAATCGCCCGTCGGTCTCCCTTCCCCAAATCGCCCAATCAGTCTCCCTTCCCCAAATCCTCCGCCATCCCCAATCTACCGCCGTCGCTCCTCCTCCGCCGTAAATCGCCCAAATCATCTTCTCATAAAAAATCGTCCCCAGAAGCTGTGACTCCTTCTCGCCGGTCAAGGAACTCTTTGTCGCCGGTCGTCGAACCGTCAGCTGGGCACACGGTTGTTCACCGTCAAGGGCGAATTCGTCTCCCTTCCAAAATCTCAGTTCAATCTCAAATCAAGGTACAAAATCTTTTTTGTTTGATTTTTTAATTGCAGACTGGTAGT